AAAAACTAGTAGTAGAGGGTCTCCTACGCCTATAAGTAGTACGAAAGTAGGCCGTAAAAGAGTACTTCAGTGCAAAACAAGCACTGTAATTTGCTCTCTGTAAATACCACCCACCGCCGGCGCCCGCCATTTTTCTGTAATGTGCATGACGTTATGGGCAGGAGGAAGCAGTGATGTCGTCTTGTACACGAGTTTCAGTCACTGCGAATTGTTGAATTTCATGCCAAGATATCGAAAGCTAAATATTCCAATACGAAGCGCAGCTGACTACGAAATATCTTGCTTCGCCACAATGCTGACGCGCGAATGCGAGTGCCGCAGTATTGTAACCCGACCCTTGGGCAGGTCGCGTCTTTACAAAAATATTTCATTATAAAAATTCACTCAATTGAATGCACTAAATTTTTGCCAGCTAATTTGTGAATGGAAAATTAACCCTCCAAATGCAGAATATGATCAATATTTGAAAGTCAAGGCCTCATAAAAAAACAGCAGTCTTCAGCGTCGCATTAAATTCTGAGTGTTCTTGCACCGAAAATATCAGTGGCCATTCGATCAATATGCGCCCCACCAGACTTGAGCACTGTGCGACGCCACCCTTGCTGCTTCCAAGTGGGCAAGCACTGGCCATCACAGAAATCTTCGCGTTCGGTAACTTCATTTTTTGGCAACTTCTTCTAACCAAACATGTTTGATGTTTAGGTGCTCCCTTCCGCGAAAGGTCAAACCAGCTCCTCTATGTTTATGTCTTTAACACAGTCCATCAATGACTGCCTTTGACAAGTGTGAATTGAGGAACAATCTTGCTTGCGCTTCGCCTATTTTTTGTTACCCTAGCACGGCTGCATATAGATGTCTCAGCTTGAGCTTTATTCATTCGTCCCAAAACTGAATGAATGTCTACCCATAGAACTCACCATGTTCAGGACAGGGCTAGCATACTTCGGGTGCGATTTCCCAAAAACTCTTGAACTGCTCACTGATGTCTCGTGTGCGCAACCCTAGGACATCACAAACGCTGGATTTAACAGAAGGAGAACCTTTCAGGAAAAAACTTTAAAAGGTCCAGAAAGTAAGCCTGCCACTATGAGGGTGGTGTCCGGCCACACAGAAGTGGTTGCTCATAGAACAATAGGATCGTGAAAATAGCGTCCAGCGTAATTCTTGAAACTTCTACATGTACTTCAAGTCCATTTTTTCTAGCAATGCTTGCAGCAACGCTGTATATACTCTAAAGTCTAATGAAATCTTTAATTCATACTAAACATATTTCATGGAGTTAGTTTATTCTTCGTAGCTGAACACTTGAATACAACAGACCTACCCAACGTAACTTTCCCATTTTCATTTCCGGTGGCCTGAAGTCACTATTCTGTGCGTTCGCGGTGTAAGTATTCCTTTTAAATAGTTGTGATGGTATATGCACTAATCTATCTAAACTTTTTATGCGTTCAATGCTCAGTATTTTATATATCTAACTTGACTCATATTCACTTTTATGCTATTCTTGTTAGACTTGAGATAAATATTTTATAGCGCAATTCTGGGGTAATGAGAAGACGACCTCACCACTGATGCCTTATTTTACGGGAAGCTTACACCAAAAAAGGCATACCAATTTACTAAACCTCCTGTAAGAGGAGTGATAAACAAGCCTTACCTCCGCGATTAACTGTCATCAACACGTAAATGTTCCTGGGCTATTGTAACATCACATGGAAGTCATTCTTCCTCCTGGAGGCTTCTAGCAAAAAGTACAGACGCGCCTATATTATGTGCCGAGTAGTTATACGATAACTTAACCAGAAAGTGCTCATAAATAAATTTTCTGGTCAACAAATTGGTATAGAGGTCATTATGGAGTTGTTTCCGCCCCATGTAACTCACACTCAGGGACGTTTTACCTTCATTGATAGCAATGTTTTCCTATTGAGGTAATCATAAGGTATTTCTACGATGTGGTCTTCTTTCATCAGATAACTACCACTCGCTTTGTTTTAGGCTACAGTTGTATAGATTAATTGAAATGCATTTTATTTTCTAAGCTTTTATACGGCAAATTCAGCTATGTTCGATCCACTAGGTATTGTTACATGAACCGGAACTCCTTTGACCTATGAGTGTCTTATTCTGAAGAAATGAACCGATTTGTGAAATAACTTGTCGAATAAGACACTATTGTGTTTCACAATGCGTTGAAGACGTGAAATGAATAAATAACAAAGGTATCGTGTTAGAAGCGTTCCCCACCTGGAGAAAAACGTCGACCATTATTAGAATATCAGAATTCATTTTCTTGATTTCAAACAGTTGAGACCATAGCAGTAAACACTAACTCAAACGCGTTAATTTTTCAAGTCCTTTGTGCGTTTCGCGTTTTTGCTATCACACGAAGCGCTTTTCACTTCACCTATAAGCAAATTATTTTGCACAATTGGTAATAATGTGAGCCCATCCTTCCCTATGAGTTCAAGACAGATAATAGCATGCTATTAGCGGACATGTGCTATTGCATCTCATATTTGGCGCCTGGAAGAAAACCGATAACTGGTGTGAAAATAAAACATAAATAATATTCTGCACTCTTTAGTACTGTTAAGGGTTCCCATCCTTGTGTTAAGCAGCCATTTGGGTTGCGTAAAGCCCATGCGGTGCTCAAGTGTTGCAGAGAGAGCGGAAATAATTTTATTATATTGCCACAAACAAGCACTCGCAATAACCTCAAGATCTGTAAATGTGAGGCATTTGTGAGAATGAGGTGACGTTCGGCATACGCGAATACCGAAGAAGAACAGCGAGCAGCCTCTAGTAACAGAAAGCTTTGGGAATTTGTTTCCAAAGAGCAATTCTAGGTTCTGTGAACATCATTTTGAAATAGTTTCAGAGTAACCAACGGTCAGTTATTCGGTTGAAAAGGCTTTATGTCAAAGAAAAAGTGGGTCAATGACGCCAAAATGCAAAACAAGTAGTACCTCACGAAAGCGGTAAAGCTACCAAGAAGTGTGCGCGTCTTTTAGCAGACTTGGAAGACATTTTTTTTTCGTGGGCGAGAGTGTATGTGAGCTCTGCTTCCGGTAAATTAACGACTTGCTACAGCCGGCAGTATGCAAACAGTAAAAATGCCTGAGTGCTAACTTTCATATCAAGCACAGCGTTGTTCGTGCTCTTTCGACAGAAATGTGAAGCACGTCGTGATGCACCTTAAGATTGAGTCTCAAGATCAATCATATTAGCCTGCTTATTGAATCGCACACAGTACTATAAAAAACAGTCCGCTCGACGTGTTTGGTACAAACTACAATATGCCAATAAATATAAAGGTGTGGCTATGCTATACTGTAGAAATACATGTGTGCTGAAGGTACGGATAAATTCCTTCTCGTATCTGAAAACTTTTTTAGCATTATACGTAAAGAAATAAATGAGTCGACACAAAAATAAAACCATCTATAGATGTCATAAATCAGAGCCTTATATATTAATAATTCCACTAAAAAATTCTAAAAAGAACGACTTCCTTGGAGAGATTGAGAAAAGAAACAAAATATGTATATTTTGCTACATGGGGTATTTCATTCATCATTTCTGGTAATATAACTGATCAGGTAGTGCCATCAAGTAGTGAAATATCCTTTTATACTTCCTAAGGTTATGTAATTACGTTACATTTTCAGACAATTTGTGGTACTTCGCATGAAACACATTTCTGTATTTTTAATCTATGCCATCATGCCCCCAGCAATATAGTGCTCCTATGTTTTCCTGAAAGTAAAGCAACATTGATAAACAAAACACAGAGAACCAAATCTTATTGCGATCGTTTCCTGCGCCCAAGCATGCTCGTGTTTGCTAGTACCATATCAAGCTTCCTTTAAAAAGTTGCAGCTTTGCCGCAAAGACGAAGCAATGAACGCGACAGCAACAAATTAGAAGGTCACGCGCAGAATGGCAAGCAGATCGAAACGTGTCCCGCATTCCTCACGCACAAATGACACACGAAACGTACTCACAGGCGAATAGGCGTCTCAGTTTATACTTCGGTGTGTCTGAAAAGCTCACCCTTTTTCACAAACGGAGACTGTGCAACGATTGCAGTGACCTTTGTGCGCCCGGTAAGTACAACAGAATCGTTCTGGTGAAAGCCCGGGGCCAGCCGAGACGTACGATTGTCCCCACCACGAGATAAGTGCGCGTGTTAGCGTGCACCCTGCTTCCTCTCCACGGGGCAAAGTAAGCGTGGGAGATAAGAGCGAGCGCCACCGTGCCATGACAATGTGGTGACGCACGCTCATTGCGCCATCTTGCTGGTAATATTGAAAACACGATCGTTCCCCGATAGCAAAATAATTATTGTACATCATTTCTTACTCGATTAGAGAAAGGGCGTGAATAGTGCGCACATGGACGAGACTAAGAAAGGGTAGTCTTTACTCTTGCTTCGAAAACAAAGTAAGCAGATGTTTCATTCATCAATGAACTGACACACTAAATTACTAACTCAAAACTTTCACTGTGAGACATTCCGAGTATGAACCTACATAAAGAGACCTTTCTTTTTCAGCACAAGAAACAAGATATGGTTGCTCTCGAAACCCCTCCATGCGGATTCAAGTGGCAGATGCAAACGTTTGCTTTTGAGAAGGCGAGTCAGGTGAAGCCGCAGCTTGCCTGTCAATAGCGAAACATGAAAGACACAAAAAAAACAAGCGCTTGATTTTTACTCATCACATGAAATACACGAGGTCATGTGGAAAAATTGTGGCAAGCTAAATAGATAAAACTTCAATATCAGGACACAGTGGTAATAAACAAGTACCAATAGCTATGACATTTACAGACGTTCTTAAAGACCTACAGAAAAACTTACCTACCTTTAGGTACGGAAAGACCTACCTTCAGGTAGCGACAATATGAATGTTTCCAACTTGTTTTTATTGTCACGTGGCCTTAACGTATTGTTCCACTATTTAGGCAGCTGTTCAGACTCATACACGTTTTATGTATACTATGCGCTTCTGTGAGTTGACCATGATTCATAAATCGGTCCTGCTTGCGCTTTTTACATTCGCACTTGGCTATGGCTTTGCTACCAAAAACGCTAAAGTCAATCTTACTGCGTTTGAATTTGGTAAGTTTTGAACCACCGGTGCATTGACATTTCATGTCATGGTATCGCTCATGCCACATCAGCCACTTAGCAAAGGGATCTATAGAAATTCTGCCACCCCCTAATATGCGTGCTATGAATCTTCACTTGACAAGAGCCAAAAAATGCAGCCTATATAATGCTGATCCCAATCGGTCCCACCTTTCACGCTTCCCTGATATGTATTGTAAAATACAATCTAAAAATTATATTTTGTACTTGTACAGCATAAAAATCTCAATTATTACGTTTTCATAATGAGGTGCAACACATCGAGTGTTCGTGATTTTTTCGCATACTCGTTTTTATCTCTCCATTCTTAAACTTGATATAATTAATACACGCGTCATGCATCGGTTGGAATCAAGGATACCTCAGATACTTTTTTGCCATAGCAATTATACGAGACACTCAGCCTGTTTTTGCTGTCGCGGTCACCGTCATGTCCCGTATTACGCACAGAATGTTAATATTGCTCGTGCAGTGCATATTCTACGTCCAAGTAAAGGCTCACAAGATTTGTGAATGAATGTGGCCGAAGCAGAGTTGACACTAGCTGGGCATTTTCATCGTAGGAGGTGATAACATTGCCCGACAAGCAACGCCTGCCACACATTCATCTTCAAAAATACAAGAAGCACATCACCCAGCTTTCGTAGAGCTAAAAATCACGAAATAGGGGTGGCGAGAAAAGGAAGCACGCCGCGTCACTCGAGGAGCGACCACGAACTTTGACTGTCGTGGCACGATGGTGAGTGCTGGCACCGGTGCAATTTCTACTAAGTCAGTAGACGACTGATACACGTGCTCTGCTCTCTCCACTTCAGGTTGAGACGCCAGATAGCATGAAAGTCAATTCGCTGCTTATAGCAACTATACTGGCTTAAACAAGCGTTCTTTGGAGTTATGTGAGATCGGGTCCAAAAAAAGTTAACTGTTCACCCTATTTTGTCTAACATTCTCTTTTGTTGCTATAACGATAAATATTTGCTTCGTCATTGCAGCGAAACAAGTTCTTTATTGCTTTTTAGAGGTAACTTTTTTCTTAACATATAGTTTCGCACAACTCTTTCTTTCTGCAGACATCGCTGGCGTACTGCAGGTAATTAAAGCAGAACAGTTTGTAACGAATGTGAAGTTTTCCGAACCCTGTGACGTGAAATGCGCTGGGCATGCCACGCTTCAATATGTGTGTGCGTCTTTCACTGTGACCTTATTTCTGGAGTGGTGACCCACATGTCCTATTCGTGAGTTTCTGGTTCAGTGTTCTGCGTGAGTTTCGGTTTAGGCCACACGAGATCCCACCGCCAGAGCACCGAGCAGCAGCGCATGCTCCGAAGGCACGCTACTTTGGAAGAATGTTTTCAGCGCTTGTGCGATTTCAAGCCTGTCAGCCACTTCCGGTCACTTAAAACACTGCAAAAGTTTTAACCGTGAGTACCATGAATATTCCGAAAAATCACGGAGACAACTCTCACCATAATTACTGGCCCCAGCGTGTACCTCGACGACATTATTGTGTCAAGAAACGCCATATCAACACAACGAAAGGCAAGACCAAGTGTTGTGAAGACTCAGTAATATGGGCCTGCACTTACAGAAAGTCAAATTACGATTTTGGGGGGAGGGGTGAATTGTGAAGTTTGTAGGACATCGCATGGATGAACAAAGTGTACATACAACTGGAGCGAAGGTTAAAATCATGGATGCAGTATAGTAGAAAAATAGATTTTAGCTCTAAGCATATTGAGGCCTGCTTGCTTTCTACAACCGCTTTTTCAACAACAGAGTGATAGGGGCCTCATCACTGTACACGTGTTTGCATAAGGAAACACAATGGGTATAAAAGAAGGAGCACCAAAATGCATTCAAGGAGCTAAAGAAACTCCTTCGCGATAGCTCGGTGCTTGTTCACTATGGCGAGCGTAAACCACTTCTATCATGAGACGCTTCACCCTATAATGTTGGCGCTGTTCCATCGCAAGTACATGAAAGCGGAAAAGAAGCACCATTGCTTTTGTGTCCCGAGAGTTTAGCAAAGCGAAACTAAACTATGCAAAACTAGATCGGGAAGGACTTGCCGTGATATTCAGTGTTGATCACTACCAGAAACTTATAAATGCAAAACATAGGACTTTTACAACTCATCACCAACCGCTCCTCAGCATTCTCGGGCACGGGTCTTACGCATCCCCTTTCGTCCAACTGACTCGTCGGAATGGCGGAATGGGTCCTCACTGTGCGCTTTGCAGCACCTGTACACACTGCATCCTATAACAACAGTTCACTATGCATACCTCATACTAAACGACCTCATACAGACAACCATCGCCTATAGAGCTCGAACGTTTTGTCACTATGTCGCCAGTGAACTGCTATTGTGCAGTCTTGAACAAATTCCAGACAATTTCTTCATCGCTGAAGCCTCTGATATAAATTCAGCGGCCATATCATTGACAAGGGTAAATCTCTCGCTTTCCCCAGAGCAATGAAAAACAAGCATTTTGCTGTTTACATCTGCTTTGCATATGCGGAGAAAATAGTGACTCTAAATTGTTACATTTTTTTTGAACTCCTGATGCATGCCACTGTATTTAGAAATAGCAATATCATTACTTCATGTGCAAAGATGAAATCATAAAGCTCTGTGCTGTAGAAGTCAATTTCAGTACAACAGTTTTAAAAACTGCGAAATGTGCCTATGGCCACACATGCACCACTAGTATACTGAATTTAATGTGCTTGACGTTATTCGCAATGACATCGCGAGCAGAGTGCAGCAAAAAATGCATTTAGCAGCGTGAGAGAACAATCATGATCAAAAATAATAATATTAATACTAATTGTAGGGGTTGAATCTCGCGAAACAACCATAAGAATATGAGAGACGCCGTAATAGAGGGCTATGAGAATTTCGACCACCTGGGGTTCTTAAATGCGCGCCTAAGAGAGAAAGAACATAAGGAGAAAGGTATGGAGGTTAACCAGGGCTGAGCCCCGGTGGGCTACGTGGGCCTCAAGCATTTTCGCCTCCACTGAAATTGCGGCTGCCGCAACCGCGATTTCATCTTGCGACCTGCGGGTTGGTAGACGAGTGCCTTAGCCACTAGACCACCATGGCGGGTGGCCACAATTAACAAGCAAAGTTGTTGTAGAAATATTTCGCATGGGTTTAGTGATAAAAAAAAGAAACGAACACAGGAGTAGTGACGAAGCCAGAGGAAAATCAAACCACGCGAACTTATGGCAGCCACAAGTACTCGCTTGAATACTACACATAGCCAATTTAGCGACCAAATAGATACATTGAACTTTTTTGTTTGTGTATTTGATTTAGAATGGTTGGAAAACAAAACTGCAGCATGTGGCCACCAAATTTAGTTTTGTTCTTGTCAAATACCTAAGGTTCTAAGTGACTAAATTTATGCAAGAAATATGTTGATGTAAGAACGCCATTTGTGTTAAATGGTGATCATTCTTTATTTGTCTAATTAGGTATATGCACCAAAGCCTTTATATAAAAACACAATTCTTGTAGTTATCAGTTCTGCAAACAATGGAGCAGCATGCCAAAGATATTGTGCCAACTGCACATGCGTAGCACGTATCAGCTAGTTTGCAGTGACTGACGGGAAAGATTAGCCAGCACGTGGCTGTGTTGTCGAGGACTCTATTGCTGAAGGTGTGTCACAAATACGGTGCTATATTTTGGAGACATTCCTAGCACAGATATATAGACATGGTGCTGGCGAGTTGCCCTGTGAGACCACTTTAGGAGCATTGTACAGGGTGGAGGCAAGCTTTCGTGCACGTTGATGCTGTAACCTCTGGCGGGTCAGCTGGCAGTTTTTTAACACCAACAGTTTTGAATATTTTCAGCTGAAGTCATACCCTGGAGTAGTATTGCGTATTGAACTAGAGAAAAAACGCTGAAATAAGTGAAATCATACTATTAGATGTGCGGAGGTACTTATGATAGAAACGCGCGGTACCTATTGCGCGCGGTACTTGACAATCCCGTCACATAGTTTAGAAGAAATGTACGCGAAGCTGTGTGAAAGATGGTATTTCTATTTTAGAAATTTTAGACTGGATGAGGGCTAGTTTGAATTGTTACGTTGATGAAACACCACTGTCTTTGTTTCCTCTGCGCTGATCTTACGGTAACAGCTTGTCGTTCACCTGCGTATTTTTGCAAGTGTTTTATGGCTTCGATGTGACATTTTGGACGTATGAAGCCAAGAAACTTTAATTGCCTTAGAACAACATATTAATGCAAACGTTTTGTTTCATGATAGGCAGTATAATATACACTCCATTTTATTATTTACAGAGTGCAACAAAAGCGTTCACTGTATGTATCCTGATGGTAAGCTACCTTGATTCCTAGCATTTGGCTTCATTTTTCCACGTGATCTGGTTTTCGATGTATTATATTCAGGAGTGTTCAAATGCTTAAAGGCCATTCTCCTATAAATTATATGCAATAGTGGCCTGAGAACTTCTGATTACACCTTTGTGTCACACAGGATGTAAACAGAAGCGCTTATATTTAATGGTACTGAAATTAAGATTATGCATCTGATTGTCTATATATTGTCAAGGCTCCGAGGTCGACGGTACGTACGGTGGGTTTCCTTTAGGGTAGCTGGCTCTCCGCTGTCGTCCGCATAGCCGATCTTCACCAGTGAGGGGACGCATTAAGAGAGAAAGAACGAATGTTTATTTACGTGATATTTGAAAGATGAAACTGTACATGGATTCAGAGATTATTAATAACATGTCTTCGGCTTATATAGCCCGCCGTTCCTTACATGGAAATCCGAAGAAGGCGGTGACCACTCTTGCCACAAATCAGGTGACAAAGTCTCAGTGGTCCATCCACCAGAAAGGGCGCAGTTATTGCACCACACGTCTGGTCGAAATTGTCCAATGGTAGCACAAGTGACGCACCTGGCCCATGCCTTGAAGGCACCACAGGGCGAGGAGGTAGAGTCCGGAGAGAGAAAGTTGAGCTCCTCCGGGGAGATGGCCGCTGACCCGAACGTCAGCAGTGTTGCATGGCTGCTTTCAGCTACAGGCTTTTGAAACTCTCTCGAACATGGCAGTCCAAACACTCGATCCCTGGAAGTGGTTCTTAAGAGAGAAAGGAAGAGAAAAGTGATCCCCGTAACTGTCTGCTTCAGCGAGCGACACCTCAACACTAGCTCACAAGGAATGGGGGTGAGGAGGGATTAAAAGGTTAGGAGTAAATATGTCAAAAAGAGGAAGAGGCGTGAGGTGGTAAGCCAGAGAGAGCTATGACAAATCGAGGGGATAGGAGATATAGGAAAGATGGAAACACGGTCACAGGAGTCCGAGCACAGGGCACCACTTGCGAGAGCTCTTGTCGGCGTCAGTAGATGGCGTAGAGCAAGACGAGTCGGTCAGACCTACACTGTCGTTGAAGGTCGTCGGCGTCAGGAGATGACGTAGCGCGAGCCCAGTCGGCCAGAGCTACGCTGACGCCGGAGATCACGAGGGCACAACCAGACGGCACGGAATCCAACAAGCGAGTCCGCTCGATCCCTGAAAACTGCTTCTTCGACGCATTCCCAAGCTTCCGGGCTGTCGGTGCTTTTGTGGCAATTTCGCGCCGGCGACAACAGCCGAGTCGAGGTGTACACTTCCAGAGAACCACCACATTGGCGCCGTCCCACGCTGTTCGAGCCCGTTAAAAAAAAAAAGGTTGTCTCGCGAAGCTTTCGTTGAGGCCCGACCACTACTGGGAACCTCTACAGGACAGCGTCTAGCCTACTCTACTCCGATGAGGAGAAAGCCTTCTTACATACCGGCTTACACACAATGACGTCTGCTGAGACGAACTGCCGGGCCAAACGTAACAATATTGAACTTCAGCTAGGGCCTAAAAGTTGCTGCTGTCAAGTTTAATTATTCTTCTTATTTGGACTCCGAGCAGACTTGACTCTTCGGGAAAAGCCTAGTTTCATGAAGACGGCTCAGTGTGGCTCAACAGAGGCCTATCAGAGTGGGCTGTAGGTTGATAAGTGATCTTCTGGTATTTATGAATTAGTAGTAATAATTAGTAAGTGTTCACTGAAGTGGCTGAACTTTGGGTAGCCAGCACATCTGTAATATATTGATACGAGGAGTTACCCAGCACCTCCACCGAAAAATATCTTACGGGGAGTATTTACTGAGGGGTCGTCAGTCAGTATCAGGGCGAGATGACACTGCACAGAGCAAACAGAATGCTAGTCAACGTCAACACAGCAAGCCAGACTCCGCCTCACTACAACAAAAACGTCGTCCCTTCAGCGTCATTTCAGCGTCTCTGCCAGAGCGGTATTCCCGTACCCGTGACAATATATTAACCACATTAGCTTGTATATTATTGCAATAGTGTTAAAGAACTTGTGTCAAAGAAATCTTGTCGTCAGCATTGCCGTCATTGGTTGTGAACAAAAATGAACGAGAAACGTGCTTCGCTCGCGAATGCAAAATATAGTAAAGTCTGTCAAAGGCGTATCATCCAGGAAAAGGGGGCAAGAGGTGCGTAACCCCCCCCCCCCCCACTGAGAAACGTTGGGGGGCTGAGCCCTTTCGACAGTGCACCATGGTCACTCTTTGCTGTATGCTGGGGAAACTAACCAAGTAAGCCGAAGTTTCACATCGATACAGTAATCACTCAATTTCATTATTACGGGAGAATGAAAATGTTATCAGGCAATGTTACGACACAGCAAAATTTCGCCAACATTTTCACTGTGATTATTGTTCTTTCAGGCTCTTTGCGGTGTGGGTCGCCACTGTGACGTTTTCGCGTTTTGTGCTGTAGCATTGCAGAGCAGGCAAGCGCTGAGCGGGGCCCTGTACTATTACATCACTTGTTGATGCTTTCATTCTGCTGTGACTTGTTGATGCAGTTACCGATGGGAACGAGCAAACTGTTTAGGGACCGGTCAAAGCATTTGCTGCTTCCGGAAAATAATTTTCTTCGAAAAGAATATACCATCACCCCTGCGATGTCGAAGCTGTTGCGAGCCGATGCGTGTGACAAATCGTTTTTGATGTTTAAGTTTTTCCGTACTGAAAGGCTAGAAACTTTTTCCGCTTTAGTCTATGATAAACCTGATCAGCCTCGCTTATGGTAAATTGGAGCCATAGCAAATTGACCACAAATAAAGCAGTGAACTCGTGCTCGGTAGGAAGCGCAGCTTTTAAGCTTGCCCCACAAACTTGACCCACCGGACCAGAGCGAAGGTTAAATACCATTGTTTTACAGTGAAATGTGTTATGAAATCAGAATTCGGGTCACGCGCGGTGCCGTAGTTATCCGCCGCCACCGGTGTCCGTAACCACATCGCACGAAATTAGAAAAAAATAGCTAGTACCAATGGCACAGTGTGGCTCGAACCCGGGTCCGCTGGGTGCCAGCCCAATATGCTACCACGGAGCCACGCTGGTTTTTTCCTTATTTATTGCCTTCTTGACTACAGGTCAAGCTAATATGACAATCACTATCACACGTGTTTCATGCGTGATAACGCATCAAACAGGCATATTACATCTTCAACACAGTCGGTAGTCGATGATGATGATGATGATGATGATGATGATGATGATGATGATGATGATATATGGTGTTTTTTGGTGCAAGGGCCATTTGTTGGCCAAAGAGCGCCATTTCATCTTACTAAAAATATGAACAATAAGCGGCCGTATAAGGGCCATAAAATTCCTCGCGATAAGGCGGGTAAGAACATACAAGTAATAAAATGATGACCATGCCGTGAAAGATGTGTGTGGTGTGAATGATGACAAAAGTGCACAGTCGGTAGTCGAACTTTTATAACAGCTTCCACGAAACACTCATTAACGGATAGAACTCTCGCATCACAGTGTCTGCACTATAGCATACTAAGCCAAACCGAATGAAGACCGAGTAAAAATATAACCCAAATTTTGCACAGAGCTATCACAAGGCAAAAAACGAATTCCATAAGATTGCCAACGAGTTCCACGCACCAGCGCGGCTCAGTAAGATTTACCTCTTACTGAGCCACGCTTTTGCGTGGGACTCGTTGGCAATCTTGCCTTAGGCAGGCTTGATGTAGAGAAAGCAATCGCGTTAATACAACTTAGAAAACGTTTTAAAACAGCGAAAGACCAACCCGTCATCGCGCAGTGTGAATGGCGTAACGAGTGGGTCGTCCAATGCTCCAACCCATTACAAAAGCTTCTTCTTGTTCACCTATCAACTGTGGCGCATACCCACTTCAGGCACAAATAGCACAGCGAAAGCCGGCCTACTAAAAAAAGATTAACCATTATAGCCATAGTGGGTATCAAGCAAGTGTGCTTGCAGCACCTACCCTATGAGTGTTTAGAAAAGGCTCTGAAAGGCCGTTCTTCTAGCTTACGCGGTGACTGTTCTGCGCCTATCTCGGAGACCTGGCGTTCTTTAGCACTATGGAGGCTTAGTCAGGAATTGGGCGAATTGTTTTCTCACTGAACTTGAATTGTCCTTTACAGCTCAAAATACACCTCGGAAAGCAAAGTACACACGCGCAGTGCTGCTTATTTTTCTCTATTTTTTTTTCTCTTAGCAAGTATGAGCCCACAAAGACGTATACGCGCAAAAACTACTAAACATCGTAATGCTGCATGTGGAAATATTATATTAAACTCATAATCCATCTCACCAGCTGCTATATGTAGCCCCTGCTTATGGTATTGGCCGCTAGAGTACTTGAATTACTTATTGAAAGAGATGCTCTCCGGTTTCGGGACGTCTAGTAACAAGCAGGCAATTTTATGGCACACAGAAACTTTTAAATGTGGAAGAACCAATGCAAAACGGCATGCAGTATAAAATAGTTTATGCACTTATTTTTTGCGTGGTCATGCATACGTGGTCATTATGTGATTGATCATTTTTGCGTCATTTGTTGCCTGGCGTAACAAGCTGGTGCAGTGTGCATGACAAAGACTGTTTACACCAATATTCTCTCAAGGTTCCCCTCAAGCTGCTCAGTCTAGAGTTTTCGTCTGGTCTTCGCGCAACTTCTTTCCGCAATAAACTCAACTGAATTCAATATGCAGCTAACGACCATTTCGAAAGGAAGAAATGAAAGATAGTTTAACGCTATAATCGCCCATTTTTTGTTCTCTCAAAAGAAAATTTTGTTTACACCGTTTGTGTTGGTGCATTCATGCAGACGCCTGGGAGTATTTTAAGAAATTTCGATCCAGATACAATGAATGTAAACAATGGACTACGCCTCTAACACCACACATGATACACTTTTAGAGAAAACAATGGAGAAGTTGATTATAACTGAGTAACAGTAATATAACAATATCAAT